CACTCGTCCGCAGGAGCAGGGTTTGTGTTGCCGCGTGCTACGAGTGTGGCGTCCGTAGAAGCGTTAAGAGAGGCAGAGAGCTCAGGAGAGCCCAAAGCTGGCTGCGGCGGTGTTGTTGGTGGCCATGTCGCCGTCCCCAATCGGGGCCGTGATGGCTAGTCTGTTGATGGGGTTGAGGTATTAGTAGATAAGCACAGTGGGAATCACTGCTGATAAAAGGAAGAAGATTTAAAAAGATGCATGGCCCTGAGAATTGACCGGGACGAGTGAAAGTTCATATCGTATAGAGAGTTGAAGGGGAGAGAGGGAGGAAGGGAACAAGAAACTCACGCTGCAAAGGCGACGAGCCCCACGAGGGAGAGATCTCCAGTGAAGTGCATCTCGTCTCCAAGTATTTTTCTGTCCGTTTATCAAGGGGATGACTGCGAAGTGTGCCTTACGTCGGGAGGACACGTGCTTAGAGCTATGAGCTGCGAGCTACAAGCACGATAGACGAGGGGGGAATACACCGGAGAGAAATATCGCTTACAACATTAGCAAGAGAGGGGGCCATGACTGTCATTTAAATATCTATGTGATCTTTTCAGCTGTCAGCGCACCTCGGGACCACGTTGCCGTAGTACGCCAACGGAGCTTTTGTAAATTGTAATTGTGTCAGAGCATAGACATTTCGTGGTGCGTCAGAGGTCATGCTTCGTCATTGGCTCAAGAAAAGACAAAAATTATGTATCCGCTTTGGGCATACGTGATAAAAAATCGTATTGATCTACCTATGTGCTAGGCATCTAGGTGCCTTGATGGACACGGATATGGCTTAGCCTTGCGGCAAGGCTGCGGCTGAGTAACGCCAGCAAGTTCCGGCCAAGACCCCTGAGGCCGACCAATGAAGGGCTTTTCAAGCTTTGGCGCTAGACCCAAAGCGTACAATCTCTCTGTCAGAGGCGCATATTTGCTATAATAGGTATACGCACTCACAAATTACATAGCACAAGTTTGGGTATAAGCTTGACATAACTCAATTTATTAATCATGCCTGAACCTTGACCTATACGTGTTATTGTGTTGTGGTGTAGACCATCAGCTGATTACAGAAATCTGTGAAATAGTTCCATGCACTTCTAATAATGCTAGAAGTCCCATGGTATGACTCAATGTAACTTAGTAGTTTGCAACCCTCCGCTACCCATACCAAAACGTTGGAAAGAACGGGAAAAAAGCAGAATGAGAACCCGCGAAAGGGCATACATTTACAACGCTGACGGATGGCCAAACACGCATCGCAAAAATACACCTACAGACGCACTTGACGCAGGAATACCTACAAATGCTGGTAACCCTACCTCGAGCTCCATGGCTGACATCTGTGTTGACAATTAGAATAGTACTGCAAAACTCACCTTGTACGAGCACATTTGTTGAATGTCCAATCGGACGTGATATGTGGTACGAAGGAAAGAGCGATAGTACGAAGCATCGATACAGAGAGCTCCCATATCATGCCACGTGCATCTACGCGATCAAAGACGGGTCTGATCAAGGCTGGTGGAAAGAGGAGAACTTCTGTGTACGTGTGCGCGCAGGGGAAATGTCCCTACAAGCAAACAGCAGAACAACAGAGATATGAACTGTTATGTACACAATTCGGTTTCGCAAATCAGTACTTGTAGTCCGAGGGTGGCACGACGTTCTCAACCGCGTCCTCCTCGCCATAGACTACACCGTCACGTTCCACAATGACTGTGCCATCGGGTGCCACAAACTCGTCACTGACTGCGTACTCCCAATCATAGCCCATTTCCTTGACGAGCTTTTGGTTCTGCGTTGGCCAGATTTTGCAGAGGACAACATAGACCACAAAGGTGACGGTGAAGGAAAGAATCCAGCCAAGGTCGCCCAAGTGTGTGGCTGCCGCGGGTACGTTCGCACCCAGCGTGCCAACGAAACCTGGGAAGGGCAAAGCAATGCCGCAAATATACGCAACATAGGCTTGAATATTCCAACCCTTGTTGTAATAATAGTGCTTGTTGGCGCTAGTAGGATCGTAGAGCCAGGAAACAAAGACGTTGCCCTTGGTCAGAACCCAGTAGTCGGCGATCATGACAGCAACGACGCTGGACATGAAGAGTCCGTAGCCGGAAAGGAAGGTCTCAAAAATCGAGGCCGAGGCCAAAATTTTCCAGGGGCATATCGCAAATGCCAGGAACTCGACAATGAATTGACCACGTGGAATGGTAAAGTATTTGGGAAAAAGCAATGTCAGATCCGAGCCAAACGGAATCATGTTTGCTGCGATGTTGGTTCCCAGAATGGAGAACATCCAGCAGAAGGCGCAAAGGAAGACCAGGGTTCGAGAGCCGTTGGTCCAGTAGTGGTCCAGGATAGCGCCCAGAAGGTCCCAAGGGTTCCAAAGATCAGTGCCCCAGTTGTTGTTCAGCGCAGCTGTTGCCAAGATGCCAAACGAAGCCGAGAGAGTCACAGCGATGGGGTTAGTAAAGAGCTGGGACCACATGGCACCAGTGTTGGTCTTGCTCCAACGAGCAATGTCAGGCTGATTGGTGATCAAAGTGGCCTGGTGCGCGCGGATGATTTGTGAGTTTGGATTCTTCTCAAGACATGACATATCATGAGAACAGCGAATGGTTATGACTCACAGTATTTCCCAGACCGGCGTTAATGGCATAGATAATGTACCAGGCCTTGTTGCCTGAGATGCTGCCACTGTAGACACCGCCCAATTGACCCTTGGTGTCGGCCAAGCAAAAGATGAACAGGCCAAGGATGGCAGGCACCATGAGTGCGGTCTTGAGCCAGAAGAACCACTTGAGCTGGTAGGGGCGCAGCGCACAAAAGGGGAAGTGCACACACCAAAACAGGAAAAAGGACAACATTCCTGCAGTGGTAATGCCCATCGAGGCCGGGATGCCGTTGGGAATATCGACATAGAGGCGGCCAAAGACGCAACGCAGCATGACCGAAATGAAGCTAGAGCCCGAGTACAGCTGAATACCGTACCAGATGATGGCCAAGCAGGCACGTGCAGCGACGACGTAAAAGGAACCCCACATGCCAAAAACGCTGCGGGCGACAACTGGGTAGCCAATGTGGTAGGCAGAGGCGCAACGACTGTTGAAGAACATGGCGATGGACGAGATGACTTGGGAGACAAAAATGACAATGATAGCCTCCCACCAGTTCAGGCCAAGGCCGACCATGGTTGAGCCGAGGGTCCAGTTGCCAAAGGACAAAGCCCAGTAGAAACTGACATAATTTTGCCATCTCCATGTGCGCTTCGCGGGTGGTGTAGGGTCGAGATCTTCGTTGGACCACCGCGAATCAGCGTCCGAGCCTTCGGGTCGTCCATGTGTATCGAGGGTGGACGAAGGTGCCTCGATCCACGTCTTGAAGGCAGGCCAGCTGGTGAAGGCATGCTGGGCTGAAGCCTTCTTTGTACGCACAAAGTCGCCAGCCCTGCTTGGGGCCTCTGAGATCCTCATGTTGACAATCGAGCGAGAGAACAAGAGGAAAGAGGAAGAAGATTGAGCGGTAGGTGGCCTGGCGCCTCTCAGTCCCAGGTCGTGGTCGTGGTCGTTGTCAACAGCAGCAGCAGCAGCAGCAGCAGCAGCAGCAGCAGCAACAGCAGCAACGAACAACAGCTTGGGGACGAGGGCGTTGAAAAGAATTTTCGACAAAAGGGTCCTTGTGCCATGTCGCGTGCTCTGCGGGCGGCGCGACCGGGTCTTATGCGGTAAGGGCTTTAGAAAATGTGGTGACAAGGGCCCTATCAAGCCATAGGGATTTCCGCCACCGTGCGGAGAAATTCTTATCGACCCGGCCAGCAGGCCCAGGCGATTCGTGGCTAGACGCGGCCCTATGCTCCACTACATCCCACAGCAGCTGATAAGACAGCAGAATGGTCCGGTTGCACCCTAGTAGAGCCTAGCAGAGCCTGGATCAGTGCCCGCTACCCCGGCCTTTTGCTGGCTGCACTGTGCGAGGCAGAGCCCGGCAGTCTGGAACCACGAAATAGATAGTCTCTCGCCGCATGCCGAGCGAATGGGGTCTCGGGACCAGGTTTGGAAGGTTGAAGCGTGGCTTGATAGAATTTGTCAGGAGCCCGCAGGCGGTGAATGGAACCTTTCTGGAGGGGCCACTGCGTCCAACGTCGACATCGGCGGGCTCAGGGCAGCAGAGACTGTCGACTCGAAGGGACTCGAAGAGACTCGGCTGCGAGGCTTGCTGTAGTTGGATAAGGATGCAGAACGAGGAAACTGCCAAGCCATTTTGGATCATTTTGGCCTGCCGTTGAGAGCTTAGTGGGATCCTGCTGCGCGGCATGTCAGCGCCAGTCCTGGTCAATCGTGCTGGATGGTCAAATGGGAAAGATAACAGACCTGGGGTGCAGATGTTCTTGCATATGCAGGACGGTTGTGGGCGGGGGCGTGGCCAGGGCAAGCCAGGCAAAGGAGTGGAGGGGGGGAAAATTGGTCCAGATCGGAAGCCGCCGTTAGCTTTGCGCGGCCTTGGCCTTGGTGGGCGCTAGAGCTGTCAGGGTGGACTAGGGGCTTACATCGGATGGTCCTAACCCTGAAGAAACAACGCGACTCGTGATAAACCGACATATGAAGGAGGTAAAGTACATGTGTAGTCTATCGACGGCAAAGATGCCTTGGAAGAGTCAACACCAGGATCTGAAAAATTCTTAACGCACGGGTCAGAGATGTACAGAGTATGAGCATGGATATTCAATCATTAGTCTTACATGAGTTCTGTGGCGACAACCAGTCGAACCTGCGCGCACAGTACTTACGGCTTGGATGTACCAGTATTAGCGATGCTGAGGACCGTACGTAGTTTGACTTGCTGCTATTACTAAGTTGATGGTCATCAGACCCGAGCAATGCCATGCAACTTCAGCATCAGGCAGCGTCAGGACAGTGAATACACCATCTGGTAGTGCGTGACATTATAATATGTATGATTGCCAAATTTGTCAATCGATTGGGGACTTGGCTCAGGGGTAGAGCGTCTGCTTCGCATTGTGTTCGTCTAGTATTAGCACGATACCGGGTTGTAGAAGGTCATGGGTTCAATTCCCATAGTCTCCATGTTTTTGTCAGCGTCCACGAGAGGTCCATGGCCTTTTTTGACCGCTATCTGTGTGCATCTGAGTCTCTGTATCAATTGCATATGGGCAGAATGTCGCACAAGGTAGCTATTTTGCTTGTTATGTCTGTGAATGTGGCGATCAAAATGGATCCAGCCTCGCGGTGAGGCTCTGTGGAAGCTGTTGTTAGCCTTCCTGTGGATCCTCCAAGATGGCGAATAGCGTGGCGTTATTTCATGTGTAGATTCCGGATTCGGCAATCACCAAATCTGGCAATGATCGGCGTCATCAATCTAACAGCCACTCTATAATATCAGTGGCCCCAACAGCATCAGTTTGCAGATCTACTACGACTGTGTACCGAAGCCGCGTCTCGATCTCACCTAGTAGACGATTTGCAGAGTATCAATTTACACTTGTTGCTAGAGACGCACCTCCAGACCCCGTTGCAATGACCAAACGTCATCCAGAAAGCCCGACACTATCTGTGCTGGGTTCGTCCTGCCGCGCAAGACGGCCAGCAGGAGGATCCCATATAGTCCCCGTTCGCATGCACAGTCGGTAGATATTGATATATACCGTGGAAAGTGGGCAAGCAGCTTTCACATGTGCGCGGCTGCATGTTATTTTCGACCGCGTACTGGCAGGCCATAGTAACCTTAGGTCGTTCGTTGAGGTTCATCCACGTTCGAAGAGATGATGACAAGATAATTATGTAGTTCAAATTTTACAGGAAGCTTGCGCGACTCTGGCAGTACAGAACAGCTCTTTTGCCTGTATATCTCGGCTAGTCCCTCTAGAGTCCTTGCAAAGGCAACGAGGAAACTGGAACCCTCGTGTTTTGAAGAATCCAGACTCCAGATGCTTGGTTCGAGATGAAGTAGCCGTTCGGTATTAGCTCTTGCTTCACTATACGACCGCTGACATCAGCTCCCAGTCCATATGTAGCCACGATACTCTACGCCGATATATTTAAGAAAGAGTCATGGCGTCGTTATTGTTATTGATGCTTGAACACTCAATCGTGACTTCATCGCAGAACTGCAGTACTGGCATGCTTATAGAATATATGTCCACCGCCAACCCCTGTGGCCGCCGGATTGCTTTGAATTTTATATCTGCATCCTTCCTTTGACTCAAAAATTCCATCTACACTCCAGTGACGTGCGTGCACCACTCTCTTTTCTGAAGATCAAAATCTACTATCATGGACTCCACGTCGGCACTGCCAACTCCCAAGCCTACACTCATCGACGTGCTCCCACCAAAGCCCTCCGCTTCTTGTCACAGACTTTTCATCGTCGTCATCGTTCTGAGCATCTCACTGGCCCTCGCATTGACCATGTAGGTCTCACTGTCCTGTCGCAAGTCTTGTAGTATGAAATGCTAGTTTTCGCATGAAATTAGTTGTTAACATATTGCAACTGGAAGCATATTTTGCCTCAAGGTTTCTCCGGCCATAGAACGGGACTGTCTACGGTGCAAGAAGGCAGAGAAGGACAAAAGGGAGTCTAGACTGGGGTAGCAATTGAACACCACCACGCTCTGAGGTCCCCAGACCCCGTATGTTTGACCTTGAACGTCGATCTTTGGGGCTCTAGATTCTACGATCTGACATATCGATACGCGCGGCTTTACCCCAGTTTTATTACAACAACAAGTCACCAGCCATGGACAGGTACACAACGGACCATGTCGCCATTGCTCCTATCGCCTTCCAATTAGTCATCCCGTTCTTCTCTTGGTAAGTCTCGAATTCTGCTCGAATTTGTTGCATCTTCCAGGTTGTTGACATGATAGTCATTACTAGTGAATCTCTGCTGTCGTACCGTTAACGACTCAGGCAGAAGAAGTCCGGCTTGAAGCCAAAGGAGAAAGAAATAACTTTAGACACGGTTTGGACGGTTCCAGGGCTTGAGAATCCCCAAGGCTTGGCGGAGGGATTAATTAGTCGTGATACATGTTACTAAGGTATACTTACACGTATTCGCAGAAATCTGGCCACAATTTGGCCGTCTTTGTGATGTTGATCACGATGTCGAGACGTGCATCGTCGTAGTCGCTGGCCCTCGTAGCAAATTGGGAATGGACAATGGACAATAACACGCTTCCTATAATGTCTTGCGGACCTCTCATTCACCTAGAGGCCATCATCTTACATTGGTTTTCATTCCATGTCAAACCGAGCATCCCATAGACATGTGAGTGCTGAGTACATACTCTCATGCTGAAGCATGTAAAGAACATTTGTCTCCATGAGCTCACTTTGTGGCTCGGCGAGCCAGGCATCATTGATCATCAACAAGATTGGATGGTAGAACAGTCCGTCAGCGCGTTCTCGTGAGCCTTGTGTCCTACAAAACATATCCAAGATGACATCTGTAGATTTTTATATTGCGTACAACGAAATCGACATAGAAAGACGTCATGCTTGGACAAGTCGAGACCATTGAATCGCGCAGTCGGGAACGGAATGTGTCAAGAAGAAAGGCTCCGTCCGCAAGTGTGATTGATCTGACAAGCCCGTCAGATTATCACATTACACCGCACAAGTCGAATTTGACAATCAATAAAGTTGAGACTTACCGCAAACGTTGCAAGAGGACGTATCAAAAGAAGAGATGCCTTTTGTCAATTGGAAAGTGAGAGGGGAGAAGAGAAAAGAAGAAGAGAAGGAAAAGAGACTGCATTGAGAAACAGCACGTACTTGTATTATATATCCGTATGTGCCCTTGTCTGGCAGTTGAGCTCTCAATACATGAAGAATTGAGACTTTGTTTGTTCCGCACATCTACCTGTTTTCATGATCTTCGTCATGTGAGGAATCTTCTTGTGCTTGAGTAGACGAAAGAAGAGATACGGTTCAGCCCCACGGTTGAGCTCCACGTTCAGTATGATGCTTACGAGCCGCATGCGTTCATATCAACGTTGAGTAGACGGCACAGGAGGAGGCGACAGAGTTACCAAGTGCTCTTTCAAAATACAAATTTCATCTGTCTAAGCTTTCTGGCCGTGAGACCTTCTGTGTAAGAATGGGGTTCGTGGATGGGTTTGCCGGACGACACTCTAGAGGCCACCCATTCTCCTCACCCTCGCCATGGCATACTTCAGACTGACGAGGATGACAATTGGCAAGCTGTAGAAGTAAGTCAAGCAACGGAACACAATAGCTTGGAGCCCTTTTTTTTTACAAAAAAAAATCCTTTTCTGAGCGAAAATTCGACTTCTCTGCCCATGAAGAACAGCGTGTCTCTAGTATTCAGGGTCTCAATGGCGGCAAGGACGGTCAGGGCTCTCGGGAGCTAGTCGAAACCAGTCAAATCATATTCGATTCAGGGAAAGGTTCATGAAGCAATTCGTCGTCGGGTCTCTTCAATACCTAATTACCTAAAACCAAGGAAGGTATCGACGTGGGTGCAGATGAGAATACGGTTGTCAGATGGCTCACACCTCGAGTACGACTATAGATGAGCTTCTGAGCTTTTCTCTGTGGCAAGCTGTACAGAATCTTGCGTGGTTTTTTTTTGGTTTTTTTTTTTTTTTTTTTTTTTTTTTTTTCGTTGCGCATCGTTCAGTTCGCGACCCTGAACTATGGTTCTGGAGTTCCGAGTGAATCCGTTTCCTCATTGCCTTGCAGCCAAGGCGCTGTTGACGAGCCACAAATAGAGCTCATTGATTGGAGGACGCGGCGAGGCTGAAGTGGGGCATATCTTTCTCATCCGTAGGCCGCGCATCATTGGTTAATTGTGCCGGTGTGCATGATTGCGAAGCACCCTCGGACCGGTGCCAAACTCAGTACAAACGATGCCGGTCGAACTTACATAAGCACAATGAACTACATACTATAAGTAGTCTACAATGCCGGAATCCCACCAGCTCGATAAGAATGATATTTGCACAAAGCACCTTGTCAGGACTCGTACTTGCAGCCATTGTGATCAAAGCCATCTATCTCTTCTACCCATGGATTCTCCAGTGTTCCTCAACCCGGCTGCGCGAGAGCGGCAGAAGGGCATCACCGTCGACGCGAGCGCCCTTGACCAAGCGGTTGCATCGCAGGTGCTGGCCTTCCACCAGCGATTGCCCCAATATGCCGTCACGCCGCTCGTCTCGTTGGACTCCCTAGCTGAAGAGCTGGGGGTGGGATACGTTCTTGTCAAGGACGAGTCCAACCGGTTTGGCTTGCCTTCTTTCAAAATCCTTGGCGCTTCCTGGGCCATCTTCTGCGCACTTGCCACCAAGCTGGGCCTCGACCCTGCTGCTTGCCTCGAAAATGCTGCCGGCAACTCCAGCTTGTGGGCAGAACTGGGGGCCAAGGCCAAGGAAGAGGGGTTGAGTCTAGTTGCATGTTCTGAAGGCAACTGGGGCCGCGCAGTTGCCCGTCTGGCCAGCTACTTCGATATCCCAGCTACCATTCTTGTGCCTGAGGTGATGCCAGAGTCAACTCGCAATCGCATTCGGTCAGAAGGCGTGCAGGTCGTGCAGGTCGATGGCAATTACGATGACGGCGTCTCGGCTGCCCAGCTGCAAGCTGCAAACAATGATAAAGTTGTCCTAGTGATGGACATGGGCTGGGATGGCTACCAAGACGTTCCTCATGTCAGTCTTTCTGTTTCGACGTCATTCCTGACTGCGAATCCCCCTTTCCTGAGAAACCTGACATTTGGCTGACTATTCTTGCAGTGGGTAGTTGATGGTTACAGTACCATGCTCAACGAGACTGACGCGCAAGTTCTTGCCATGACGGGAGGCAGCCCAGCCACCCATGCCTTCATCCCCGTCGGCGTCGGCTCCATCGCCCATGCCGTGACTCGCCACTACAAGAATGCAAACCGACCAGAGCCCCATTCGATAGCGACTGTCATTACCGTCGAGCCTGACACTGCTGCGTGTCTTAAAGCCTCCCTTCAGGCAGGTCAACCTACCACTGTGCAGACTGAAGACTCCATCATGTGCGGCATGAACTGTGGCACTATCTCGTCTACTGCTTGGCCAACGCTT